CGGATGAAAAAGCCCGTTAAACATCTTCTCCAGCGACTGGGCTGTATACCTCGCATACTTACCCGGGCTCCCTTCCTGCTCGACCAAAGGCCCGTAACTCTGCATATAGCTTCTGTATACAGGCACGATCGTCTGGACCACAATTTGACACATTCTGTCCCTCAAATCCCTGTCCACAATAACCCAGCCCAACTGCTTCTTATACATTTCTTCAAAAGCCTCGTTAAAAGCTTTCAGCCTCTGTTTCACAAGATTACGGGCCGTGGCCCGCCCGCCTGAGAATAAAATAAGCCCTTCACGGCTTAAAAGGGCCGGAAGCTTAGCCCAACTCTCTCTGAGGTACATACCGAAAAAATACTCCTTGAACTGCTCGTGAGCGTCTAGCCAAGAATCTCCGAGGGTGGTCCCGAGCTTTGTTCCTTTTAAGTGTTTGTATAAATGCCAGTGATTATTCATCAGGAATAAATACGAAGCGATTGGGTCTTCGTACCCCTTTGACCAAGTTTCCAAATTTAGCTCGATGGCTTTGACCAAATTGAGAAGCTCCCCTGTCAAGATTCGTTCTTGGTACTTCTCGTGCTTCCAGCTTCTCTCGATCACGAGTACTTGAGTGAGAATTGGCTTGTATTCTTCCCCGAGGAGCGTATTGCAATATTCGGTTATAAAAGTCACCACTTTTGGAATACTGCAATCTGCTGGTGGAGGTGTTTGTCTTTGCAGCTCGACTTGAACCAAAAGTTCCCAGAAAATTTCGCAAGCGCCTTCGATCACACGTTTAATCAGATCTCTCGTCAGATTTTGTATTTCCGCACAGGCGGCCCCACCGAATAACCGATTGAAATCCAACCTTAGTTTATTTAACGACGCGAAAATATCTAAAAGCTTCAATAGCTTGACGGGATCTTTCTTGCTTTCAGTGACCGTTTTTCCGAACTGCAGAAAAGCGGTAATCCCAGCCCTAGCGGCTATTCTAGCGAAGCAGCTTTTCCAAACGTCTAATCCCATTATTCTCTCAAACACGTCGTTACAAAGTTTGTATTCGGCTTCAAAAAGATGTTTCGTTGCAAACTCCAAATGCTTCCCCCACTGAGAAATATAAACCTCTATGCTACCCACGGTATTAAATTCTGAAACGGAAATTTCGAGATAGTCCAAATTGAGTGCTTTCAGGCTGGCACGCACGTTCAAGCTTCGAACCTCGACGTAAATCGATACGCATTTTTCGAGACGATCGTTCTCGATCAATCTCCCTAAAATCGCCTGTAATTTCTGAATAACAGCCACCGGCAAAGGAGATGGGGCTATGCAAGCTTGTTCTTCGGACAAATTCGGGGAAGACATAGGCAAAGGGACACTATTCTCAGTCAAAAGCCGGCGGAACTCGTTTTCGAGTCTTTCCAGAGAAGCTTCTAGAAGCCCACCATCGAGACGGCCCTTTTCCTCGCCATTTTCCAATTCACGGAGCTTTATCAATGCAGTTTTCAGGCTTGACACAAAACGGGCATCCGCTACCTTGTGATCTTCCAAATACTCGACTATATCAGCAAGCCACTGTATGGCCATGCCACAATTATCATCTAGAAATTTGAGAGCTTCTTGGAGACGTTTGAGAACGCTCAGATAGCCCGGAAGATCGGACTGCGGATCGGAAAGCGATTTTTCGAGGCCGTGAATGGCGTCGAACACTTTGAGAACTGCGGCTGCAGGGACTACGGCTCGGTTTATGTGGCCACCGACTGAGGCCAGGTCAGCAGATTGGGCCCTTATGGGCCGGATCGCGATCTCCAGAGAGGGGAGTCTATGGTGGATCTCGTTCAACCTAGGTCCGGTTTTCTCGAGGGAAGCACTAAGAGCTTTGGATTTGTCTACACTAGAAGTTAGTAACTTCCTGGCTGAAATCAAGTTTTCTATGCCTCTATTCATTTTCACAGTTTCAATCACACAACAAACTCAACAGGCTTTCAAAATTCAAATCAAAACCCCAAATGATGACAGAAAATAATCAATGTGGAAAAAACGAATTAATCTGGGTTTTCGAAGATGTCAGCTTCCATTCCCTGTCCTCAGACCAAAACCAAGCCCCTTCACTAAATCTCGACCGGCAAACACAATCGAGAAACAGTGTAACCTCAGCAAGCCCAGCGACAATCGCCTCAAATTCAAAATCTACTGTCTATATACTGAAGAGATAACTGAATCTTAATTTCACTCTACCAAATACTTGAAAGATTAACGCGAAAACAACAATGGGGGAAATGGGGAAAGAAAAAACTCACCGGCAAAATCGATTCCGAATAAGAGGTCAATCAATACTGCTGCATATCGAAGGTGCTGATTAGGGCTTCAATTTGATCCGCGTGAGATGATTTGAAGTGTACGAGCGTGGAAGGAATTGAAGAACCCTAAATCGGGAAGTGAAAAAGGTGTGGCTTTTTTTGGCTTCACACTGCACTGTAAAAAGCTTATCTCAAGGTCCAAATGAATCATGCTAAAGTGCGAGACAGTAATAAATTTCAAATTTCTTTTGTCTCGGTTTTCTTCTTCGGAACTCTTTTTTTTTTTTTTTTTNATGAAATTTGTATATTTAAAAATCATAATTTAAAATATAAGTCAAATAAAAAATAGAATATTTTATATAATCATAACTATTTATTTATGTTGGTTATAGAATGTTTAACACTAAATAGAGCCAGCAACATTTGAGTTGAAATAATGGCATGAAATTATTTGATAGTATCATCCTAATTCATTACTTAATTTTAATAACCATATTTAGACCACCGAAAAATGCAATTATGACCACTTTAATTATTTTCCTTTTTACTTTTATTAAATGGTCAATTTTGTAGTAATTATAAGGAAGAATCTCTGGAGAATAGGATTGCAGTCATATGATAGATAATAATAGAGAAGCTGTAAAAAGATGGAGAAATAATTGCTACTCACTTCTTTGTCTGGTCCAGTTTTGTGCATCTGAACGTCGGTGGGCTTTTTTAATTACTTAAAAAAAATGGTTGATCTAATTTTTAGACATAAAAGTAACACCAGCAAATATAAATATCTAATTTATTTGTTCTAACCCGACCTTTTTGGATTTATTCAAAAAATAAGGTATGCTAGTTGTTTGGGATTTCGGGTACCCTTTTAAAAAATTTTAAAATCTATTTTTTTAGTAGGCCTTTTTAATTACTTAAAAAAATGGTTAATCTAATTTTTTAGGCATCAAAGTAACACCAGCAAATAGGAAAATCCAAATTACTTATTCTAACCCAGCCTTTTTGGATTTATTCACAAAATAAGGTATGCTAGTAGTTTTGGATTTTGAGTAGCCTTTTAAATTTTTTAAAATCTATATTTTTTTTAGACTTATTAAGATTATATGATTAGAGTAGAATCCTTGAAAATTTTATACCTTGAGATGAGATTTGATGTAAGATTTTATTTATGTGATTTTATCTTAAAAAATTAAGAAAGTATTAAAAATTGAGACAAATCCAAATGACTAAATAAATTGAATTTTTTTCATGATTTTTCAATAACTTTTCAAAATTTCTAACAAATACACCGTAATTTTTAAAATTTTAAAAAGCCTCACAAAATTTCTCAAAGGAATACACACTGTTACCTCAAATAGAACATCTAGAAAAAAAACTCAAAAACCAGGTTTCTAGATCTTCCTAAAAATTAGACAAAAACTTGTGCCTTATGGGTGGATCAACCCAGTAAATTTATTCGGCCCAATACAAAACCCAAAGACTAGTCGGCCCATGCTCAGTGCTAATTGGGATAGCGTTGGGAAATGGGCATTGTCCAGTGTACAACAGTTGAGCTGTTCTACAAATAATTGATTACTAGTTGTGGTAGTACTGCAACACCTCTGTATCAATTAAAAATAAATATAATTAAATTTTTTTATTCAATTTTTTTTAATATTTTTAAAATATTATTTTACTTAATTTATTTATAATATAATTGTTTACTTTGTATACGGCATGATGTTAAATCGAATATCGTGAAAAAATAATTAACTTAATATATTATATACGAAATTAAAACAAACAACAAGTAATTTTTTTTTTCAAGTTTAAAATATATTCATAACTTAAGTTGATCAACTGATTTATAATTTCAAACTTATAAACATAGATAAAAGTTCAAATATAAATAAATTACTAAAGTCAACATGACACATAAAATTACGAAACATAGAAAGCTAAAAAATAAGTTCAGAAAACTCAGGATTTATATATGGAGAGAGATTAACTTAGAAGAGAGATATAGAGAATGAGGTGGCCATAGTGTTCTCAAGATCGTCATCTGGTGAATGAATACAATAGAAGGTTTGTAAGGTAGCAAATTTGTGAGGTATCAAACCCTATTTTTCGATATCGTTATCTTATATGAATAAAAAGTTTGGAGTTTGAATTCAACTATATTAAACATTTAGACTGAGGGTCATGAATAAGTCTTAAAAAAAACTCTTGAATTGGAAAATAGTACTTCATATAGGAATATTAGGAATTTCGAATAATAACATTTTTGTATTTACAATCAAAACAACTAATGTTATGGTAATATAAAACGTACAACAATAACATTTTTGCAAAGGCAATTGCAAGTAGGAACGATTTACTTTTGTTAGTGGATCTAACCATCACGAATTCATACTTTTCTAATAAATTGGCATAGACATTTTCATTTTTAGATACAATACTTTAAGAAATACGTATTTTATGATAATAAAAATACAACCTTTTTCCACTTGTAAGTATCCATAAGTTATTTAAAAATATGATAGACCGACTTGTTAGCACTAGTGCTCTCCCAAAAAATGTGACATCTTTAGAATAAGATAATAATAATAAAAATTATTCATAACAAAATTTCTCAATGACTTCACTAGTATATAACCAATAAACAAATAAAAACATATATTAATGAAAAAATAAAATCAAACAAATATCATACATAACTTTATTGTCTTTCCCAAGTTAGACCCTCACATCTTAACCACAATTTACAAGCAAAGCCCCATCTCCCCCTAAAATAACAAAATTCCAACGAGACCCCTCAAAAACATCTATATTACACACGCGCCCACACAAAACGTCAGTTCATTCATTCCTTAACTGCTACTGTTCTCCCTCGCGGCCGGGAACCCCTGCATCGCGCCATCCGTGTGCCGGTGCTCCGCCTCGTAAGTCACGATCAGCACCGCCGGGTCGTCGGTGGCCCTCTCCACGTGCTTCCTCGCCGGACAGCCCCTCGAGGCGCTACACTTGTAGTAGCCCCTGAAAATCACACAACCGGCCAATCAGAAAAAAAAAAAGAAAAAAAAAAAAAAAAAAGTCGAATTGAGTTGATTTTTTTATTAACTAAGAAGGTTGAATAATCGGCGGTTACCGTGGGTATGGCGAGCCCTTGATCGGCTTCTGGCCGTACTTTCTCCACGAGTACTCGTCCGGCGGGATTTCGGCGGCTTTTGAGCTGATTGCCGGCACTCGAATCGTTCTCCTCACCTTATTTTTCCTGTGAACAGTAATTTTAGATTGGGATTTATTGAGTTTCAAGAGGAATCAAGCAATTTCTAAATACAATTTCAATCGTTGCTTGCCCTAAATTGAATTTTTCTACGCTTCAATCGATTTTCCCCTCCAAAAAATATGGTACCTCTTTGTGCACTGGCAGCTCGAAGATTTGGAGGTCTTGCCGGAGATTCTATCAGTATGGTTATGCTCGCGACACCTCTTCCCAGACAGCGGCGGCTTGCCGGAGGAGAAAGCCGGCGCTGGAGCCGTGGGCGGCAATCCGCCTTTCCCGCCCGACACGCTCCCCTCGCCGGTTATTGTCGACGCGAGAGTCGAAGACAAGTTCCCCGACGTGGACGCCGGTGGCGTCGGCGGCGGCAAATCCATCTGATTCTTCGCAAAACAATCGCTCACCTCGGTCAAATGTTTTTTCAACGGCCGATCCGCCGCCGGAGCTCGCTCCTGTGTTGAAATTGAGAACAGATTCAGAGTTAGGGGTTGAATCGGAGCTAACGTCGGCGGAGGCAGCTGGCTGTGGTGCGGTTGAACCGGTGCGCGCCTGAACCGGGCATGGCCGGTCCTGTTCAGCAACGAAGTAGCTTTTCTGAAGTTTGAAACTGCTCGGTTCAAATGCTCCGGTGATATTAATCCGGCGGGTATGGGCTCTCGGACCGCCGCTGGCTCGGTGAGATTGGGATAGCTGAGGAGTTGAACCGCCATGGCTGCAAATCGAAGCTGTGAAACGAAAAGTGCGTGTATTTTGCACAGAGAGATGGAAGGGGATTTATATGAGAAGGGGGGACGGGTCACCGGGTCAGCCAGTCGCAGTCAAGATTTGGACTGTGATCCAACGGCTGAGATACGGTCAGATTAAAAGGACAATTTTACGGAATACTTTATGGTGAAAAAAGCAGGTGTGATGGGGCCCAGTAGGGGAGAAATTGATGCTGCCAGGTACATTTGTATGGCCTCCAGTTGTGGGTACAATTTCCACTGCGTGTGGTACTACTGCTTTTTGCAGCTCAGGTAATTGGAGGTGGTTTTCGTGGGACTATATATACGGGAGTTGACCGTGTAGCCTCTTAATTTTAGGGTAAGCTTGGTTGTTGGGCTTGATATCATGTCATGTCTATTGTAATTTGCGAATTAATTTTTTTTATTTATTATATTATTTTTTGTACATTTTCGTATTTTATGTCGTGTTTGGTCCTACTGAATAAATAACATTGTTACATCCAATAAAACAACATATAAAATTGAAACGAGAGAATTGACACCAAATTATGACTTTTTTCAACTTTGATGAAGGTTTTTTTATGCTTGAATATAATCTTCTCCTATATTTTCTATGCAATATACTATTCACTAAAATTTGGATTTATGTATTTAAATTTTTCTTTGAAACAAATTAGTATCCACCAAATAGAAGATTCCTAACTATGTGTAGTACTCTTTACATTAGTATATATATATTTAAAATTTTCTTTGAAACAAATTAGTATCCACCAAATAGAAGATTCCTAACTATGCGTAGTACTTTTTACATTAGAAAACACACATTTACACACATATTTATATATGTATTGGATTGATTCTATCGAAAAATAAATAAAAATCACATTGATACATATGAACATCTTTGTAAGATTGTTCTTATCCTAAATCATTATAAATTTTGCATTTCATCATATAAACTCATGATTTGGACAGCTAAATTAAAGATTATAATTTTTTCAAAAATGGTGTTAAAATTTTGTGTTATAATAATGTTTCCCATGGATGTTATGTTTTATTTTTCCCCTATATGACATGCATGATGCAACCTACTTTAGATTTTACGAGTAATATGAAAATTCCAAAGCATTTAATTACGACCAACAAATAATTTTTTACATATATATAAAGTTTTAAGAGTCAAATTTTCTTGCTTTCATATTTATATTTCTATAGATGGATGACCAATATTGCGACTCACACACGTAACAACATATTCGTGGCAATTGTCAATGTAAAGTTACATAAATGTATATAATACTGAAGTTTTATTATAAATAAACATGTGTTGACCATACCAAATGAAAGAGTTGACCTTAGTTGTCCATTCTCCTCAAATGTTTTGAAACCTTGACTTTGACTGCACAAATGGGCATGGTTCCATGTATTTTTTTTTTTTAATGTTTTTAGCTAACTCGTCAAATTAATGAGCTACGATTTGAAGGAGCCAAATTTTATTACAAGTTCGGAGAATTATGCAAATCTCCCTATTTTTCAAGTTTTACGAGCATTAAACGAATTTGAACCTTAACTAATCGAACTTACAATCAGTTCGACAATTTTTTAATCGAACTTTTCATGATCGTGTGGTACTAATGCAAATCATATCTATTGAAAAATATGATGCATTTGTTCGTGTGTGTTTTGGGTCGACCTTCTTGAAATTAGACTCTCACACTATATATGATTTATGATAAACTTATGTAGGCGTATTCGTTTGAGATTTTAATAGATATTTTAAAAAATTGTGAGATTTGACTGTTTAAGATTCGAGATATAAGAGAAATTTGTATAAATCTTAAATTTGGAAATGAGATTTCATATAAGTTTTTTGTTTATAAATTCTCAACAACTCCAAAATGTCTTTAATAAATTTTAATGTCGAATAAGTTAATTATCTCACGATTATTAAAACTTTTTAAAATCTCAATTAATACTCTCAAAATTTTTAAAAGTATTGAAAAGTCTAAATTAAAAACACTAATAATTCTTAAAGTCTCAACAAATTTTTTAAAAATCCCAAATAATAAAAGTATCATAAATAAATTATGGTTTTAGTAACTTCACTATATCTAGTACTCTAATCTAACATGTGACACGTATATGCCAATGCCATCACAATTAATCACCAAAACCTTTGACTTTGCTAAGGTAACACGTCTGTAGAAAGATCCCATCATAAAAATAAGTTGAGACGCGTTGACAATGTCATATATGCTGCTAATAAAAGTGTGTTGGCCATGAAAAAAAGGTGCAGTTAATTGGATTGACCGATTGTATAATAACAAGTGCATTTAGGCTTTAATTACCTTAGTCAACTATATTTTTAAATTAATGTAGCAACTTCCAATGCAAAGCAAAACCACAAACCCAAAAGTCGACTCTAATGGAATACGTGAAGGAAATGAAAAGAAAATTAAACAAAGCAGTAATCAATGAGATTAATTGGACTCGATGTTTATTAGTGGGAATCTATCATTATATTAAAAGATTAACCATTTAATACTTTTAGCAAGTTTTTCCCGCCAAATACATTTAATGTCTCCTAAAAATAGAGCAACATTAAATGTTGCCCTTAAATCATGGCAGTTGTCAATTTAGTTTGGAGAAAATCGTGGCAACTAAAACAAACAACATTAATTACGGCTGATTTAATATTTAAATGGTAAACAAATATTGCTTTTTTATAACTGATTTAAATTTACGTCTGTTTAAAAGTAAAAAACTATTTTTGTAATTTCAACAAATTTGTACACTTTAATGTACGACTGATTTAAAATTAAGAATTTACTTTTGTATTTTCATAAAAAATCGTATAAAGAAGTATGGCTGGAATAATAATAAAAAATTAATTTATAAACCATATTTTGCACTCATAGATATGAATTCTCATCAAATTCAAGATTTAAAATTGTGAAGAATGTATATATATGTGGACTGATTGAAGATATATGATTCCTTAAATTAAGGAATTTTTTCCGGTAAAAAAAATATAAACTTTAAATATAGATTTTATAGTAGTATATACCAAAGAATATTGTTACATTTAAAATTCCTATGAAGAAGAATTCTATTAATTTTCAAATTCAACATCTCATAAAAATAATATAATACACATTTACATTCTATGAAATAATATTTAAAACCCACCGTTCAACATGCATAAAATGTAAAATTACCTAACATGAATCATTTTAACTTTCTAAAATCAGTACACAATTTGCTCGGTATGTACTAATAGTCTAATAGTTAAGAGTTAATATTTGCTATGACATCTATTGGTTGGAAAGAATTCCATTTTGTATGGAATTCGAAATGAAAAAATATATTCTGAAAATCAAATCTGGTTTAGAGATCGATTTCTTAATGGTCTTAAATTATGCAAATATATTGTTTCAATTTTTATGATTCTTTTTTATGATCTCAGTCTTTGCATTATATGAAATCTATACTTATATAAAAAGTCATCCTATTTACTAGAAATAGTAGGCAGAAAAGTCAAAGGTAATCAATGCTTGCTGGAAATAGAATGATATTAATTACAGACTTGTTTTGGTATTTATAGGCTTGACATTAAAGATTTGTTATGGGATAAAAATCAGAACCCATTTTTTTACCTTTGCTAGAAAAGTCAAAGGTAAGTATAGATTTGTTTTATCCCATAGCATCGGTTTAGTTAAGAAAATCCCATCAAATCAGTTTTATATGTCAAGCCTATGAATAAAGATTTAATCAGTCAAAATTAAATCCTTATTTTACGTCACCCATAAATAAAGTAGATGTCAAGCCTAAATTGAAGGGTTTAGTTGTCTATATAGTCATTGATTTACGTAAATACATCTAATGTTTAAAGTTTGTGTAGATTGAAAATTCTTTCTTATCTTTTTACAAAAAATCTTATTATTATTGTATGGAAAATCAAACTCATAATGTTGTGTACAAGGTGGTCTTTAAAAATATATGATGTTTGTTTGTCGAATACTATCTTATTGTATAATTTTCCTGCTTATTACAAAACTTTTATTGAATATTGCATCTTATAATATAGTATTCCTCAAATAAATATATCCCTTGTCTCGCACGGGTCACGTACTATATATATCCCGGACATTTTTCTGTATTCATATATATAATTATAAGTCTGGATAAATAGCCTTAAAATTGTGCACCTCGTGCATCGCACGGGCTCTGTACTAGTTGTCAACTAAATGCATATTGATTTATTTAACTAGCTCACACCGAAAGTCAACACCATAAATGAATAATAATACTAAATAGTAGTTATTTAATTAAATATACTAATTGTAAAGTTTATGTTCCAAATTAAATGTACTGAATGTATTTTATAAGTTCTATTATGCTTTAGAAACTCAGAATAAAATGTGTAGCAGCTCATGCTCCAACAGTTATAGAAGTGATGCAGCAATTAGACTCAGCAAGCCCAAGCATTTATTACTATTATATTTGAACTTTCAAGTTCACTTACTTTCACTATTAAACAAAATCGAAGTTTGACTTAACTTGATTTTGCTGAGGCTTTAGCTCGGCTTGATTCGTTTAATAAGCAGGTCAAACTAAAGTTCGTTGAAACTCATTTAGTTAATGGGTCTCGACTCAAAAATAAGAATTATTATGTGATTTTAAATAATTCAACTTGTTAATATTTATAAACAATTCAATTCGGCTCAACTCAACTCATTTATACTCATAACTATTCAATACATTTAGTATTATGATTTATGTTTAAATTACAGCAATCACATACAGTTTTGTTAGAACTAGGATTTCATCCGTACTGTAAATTGTAGTCTACAGGTTATCAAGCAATGTAAGCTTATAAATTGAAGCAAATATAAATTTTAGTCGCAAATCAAATGTACACATAAGGTGTAGCCTAATACAAAGAAGGCAAGAGAGAACATAATTCCTATGAAAGAACTTTGATAACTGTTTGTAATCTAATAAAAGAATAAAACCTGTATTTATATATTATATAATATTTTATATGTTACTGTTCAATATGGATCAATATTAAATTCATCTGAAAACAGCAACAATACCCAATTCCAGTCCAGGATATATGATAAACCAGAAAAAAAGAAAAAAATGTTTTTTATTACATAAAAATATCAGAACACATTCTTCTTTTCTCTTCCTTAAGTATTTGACCAAAACATTTACTCTAAAAATACAGTTCAAAATCCATGTATTCTAACATGTTCCAACCGTACCTCCGTAAGTATACAAACAGTGAAAAATCCTCACGATTTTATCGGTATACCTTCTGCAACAGAACAAGAAAGTTTTCGGTAAATCACATCAAAACATGAAAAAAGAAAACAGATGATGGTTTATTTTAACCAAGTCNGAAAAATACAATCTTCACGTTTAGCTTATTCCGGTCAGCAAATTTTCCGATTTACGAAAATGGCACTCTTAGAAATTTGAAATGCATAAGCAACTCCAACTTTGCAATTTTCCTTACAAAAGTAAAACCCAACTATCTTCCAGAATTACGAAAACACATTTGAGTTCACTTATTTCTTTTGTAATCATCCAAAAAAAATCGAGAACACTTTTTTTTCCTTTTATTGACACTTCGAGAAATGTAAAAAAAAAAAAAGACAAAATTGCCCTTAATATCACGACCTTTCCATTTTTGCAAATTATATCAATCTTCTACATTTTGGTGCAAATCGATGCAAACTATATCACAATCTTTAGTTTGTTCTTCGGCCACATCAGCTTTTCTAGGGTTGGTTTTCAGAACCCGTGCACCGATTTGCAACAAACTGAAGATTCAAATACAATTTGGAAAAGTGAAAATGCATTTTAAATTCAATTTCTCGAAAAAGGTCGTGATTTTAGGAGCAATTTTGCTAAATAAATTATATAAAAATCAAAAGGATGTCTCGGTAACAAAGGCCACAATCCACATCAGCTTTTCTAGGGCTGGTTTTAAGAATCCGTGCACCGATTTGCAACAAACTGAAGATTAAGATATAATTTGCAAAAGTGAAAAATGTCGTGATTAAAATTGCAATTTCAAAAAAGATCTTGATATTAGGGACAATTTTTCCCAAATAATATATATAAAAACAAAAGGATGTGTGAGTAACGTACGGTGGATCCAACTCCCTTGAGGACTCCGACTATTGTTGTAGTCAAAGCAGAGTTGACAATTGTACACAAAAACATCGTGTAGTTCAGTACTATACCCATCACCAGTGACAGAATAAGAAGAAGCAAAAACGGTAACAACGTNAAAAAGGATAAAATTATATATATGTATATATATTACCCAATCAAGAAAGAAAGAAAAATAAAAAATAAAAGCCGATAATTAAACCTTTGCGAACAAAATCGACATAGAATTTGGAAACTCGCCGGTGGCTATAATGAGGATGAAAAGAAAGGGTAGTGATAAAATGCTGTTGTAAAACATGATCTCGACTGAGGAAAGCCCGTCCTCAGCTCCCGATTTCTCGACCAATACAAGGTACATGGTCTGCAAATGGAAAATTTGACATAAGCATGAGCTAGAAAAAAAAGCTCCTTATCTAAATAAAAAAAATGCTGAAAATGTTACTATTTATGATTATGCATAAAATCTCAAAACAACAAAGCAAATTATTATCATGGATAATTTCATTAAGTGGGAGAAAAAAAGTCACCTGGAAAAAGACAGAAGTAAAAGCCATGCCGTAGCCAAAAAGATCAAAGGAAAAATCTCCTAATGCGGCTATAAGAACTCCAGCAGCTGTCAAAAGCACGGATAGAGTAACCTGAAAATCAACATGTAAATCCTCTATTTATATATATTTTACATTAATTGATATAGTGAAAAGTAAGTGGATTTTGAGGACTTCATTTGTTAAGTCACTATGATATGATATTCAAACACACACAAAACAAAAAGGACAAAAATAAAGAAAGAAAGAACGGATATTTGTTCTTTATAATTGATGCATCATAAAATTTCATTTATTCTCATCAGAAATGAAACAGCACAGAGTTTTTCCACATATATCCTAGGAAAAAAAATGCATAATCGAACATAAATATAAAATATTAAACCTGAGTTGTGGGCCTCCCCTTTCCATAAAAGAATCCGGCTACAAGCACAGCAAGCGGCGTAAGCCTCTTGATGGCTATGTACATTGGAATATTGACTCCTTTCAGGCTTGCTAAAGCAAAAGCCACATTAGCATTATAGAATAACGAGACTAACAAGAGCCTTTTTGCAGTCTCCACATTAAATCCTCTAGCTTTCGTGTACCCCATTGTTCTACCAAATCGTATAAGCACTGTCGTCATCAATTGCTGATGATAAAATCACGAGTAATGCAAACAAAAATCTAGTCAATTGTCCAAGAAAACTGCAAAATATACTTTTTTTATTTTTTTTTTTTATGCAGAGGCTTTTGAGAAAGAAGAAAAAAGGTATACTTTTGACATACCTGAAGAGTAAGAAGAGTCATAGAGTAGGCATATTGCATCAGAACAGCTTTGTTGATAAAGACCATACCCATTGAGGCAACTCCATAAGACACGGCTGCAAACAAACTGCATTTTTGCATTCCACGAGCAAATAAACGTGAAGAAAGAGAATTATTCCATTTAAACAGAATTATTTAAACGCCAAATATAACAATAACTTTTTTTTAATAGAAATAAACAACTCAAATGGGTATTTCTGACAGAGTAAGGTGGATTTTTTGATGGATGCTAAATTTTCTAACTATTCAATTGTTTCATGCACGAACTAATCATTTTCCATGGAACTACATCTGTAGACTATTTATGAGAAGCTGAGAAGAGACAATATTTCAATATGCAATAACAACATTCAAAAATGCAGCACAGAAAATGAGCAGGAAACAAACATAAATGCTTGTTCACAATCCTTACTGAAAAAAATGTAAATGCTTGTTCAGACAAGATCACCAGTGAACTCTGAAAAAATGGATAAGGGAAAAAACAAACCTTAAATAGGGCGTTTGATCCATATTGTAGTCCATCTAAGAAAACCCCCGCAGGCTAGCAGCAAAAATGAAATTTTTATACTTTTTTAATGACAGCTAAGAGCTCAAAATCCTCAAACCCAGACAGTGGATAGAGTCCCAGTTACTTCATCCTCACTAGATCCAAAAGCACATTCTTGTTCGGGACAAAAACCTCCCAAAGCTGTAAAATCAGTGGATAAACAAAAATCAGTCATTTTTTTTTATCTTTTTTNGCAAAAAAAAAAAAAAACAAAAGTAAAAATAAAATAATAATTAATGAAACGCCAGTGCGCAGTAAATTATGTGAAGGGTTGGAGAAAAACGCCATCGCAATCAGAGGCGCGCTTGCCGGGCTCGCCAGTTTTCACCGGTAAGAGTATAGAGGTAAAGTAAAGGAGACAACTTTTTCTTCCTTTACTAGTGTATACCCCGTGCGATGCACGGGAATAATATTAAATTAACAATATTATAAGTAGACCTCGAGTTCGAGTCACTCAATGGCGGAAGAGAAAACTACTATTAATCCTATTTAAAAAGAGGAAGAAAAAAATAATAATTATAAATTAAAGAGAGGATAAACAATACTTAATAATTATAAATTAAAGATTCGGGGTCAAACAATGTAAAATTATTTTGTATAAGAGAATAAAAAAATTTAATTACACACCATTTCAAAATTATTATTATTATACTTTTTTGTATGGTTAGCTTATAATATTTGTAAAAATATTAGTAATTAGACCGATAAAAATTAATTTCTTAAAGTAGATAATGGATTTATAATAGTAATTATGAATTGGTTTCTATTTTATTTTATTTTTTTATTTTAAAGATTATGAATTTCTAGTAGTAATTATGAATTATTTTTATTTTATTTTTTCAAATCTGTATAGATAAGAGATGAGATTTTTTAAACACATGAGACGTATGCAATGAGATTTTTCTAACAGGGATAAGCTCGTGTAGATTTATATTAAAAATAGGAAAAAGAAAAAAAAATATTTATTGTCAAACAACGGTTTTGATAAACTAAAAAACAAGAAAAAGAGAAACAAATCTTTACACAATTAATGAGCCAATTTTTTTGTCTATTCAGATTTGTTCAACAATTACTATATGTAGGATATATTTAATGATTTTGGCGGGAAAAAGTTTCTAAATTTGTAAAAAGGTTATTCTTTTTATATAATGATAGATTTTATTTTTACTAGACATTTTGAATAAAAAATATTCTGAAAAGAAATTATTTTGAGTAGGATTTAATATTTCAATGGAAGAATCAAATATTTTTGAGATAAAATGTAACAATGAACAAACAGCATTGCGTTCACACTTATTAATTACAGTACCGTCCCTAATGTGAACGTAACGCTGTACGTTGAGTATCTCGTCCTGCTTGAACCTCTGAACGGTACCGTAATTAACCAATTCAAGTGAATCAATTAATTACGATACCGTCCCTAGTGTGAACACAACGCTGTATGTTCAGTACCTCGTACAAATTCAAGCAGGACGATGTACTGAACGTACAGCGTTGCGTTCACACTTGAATTGATTAATTACGGTACTGAACATACAGCGTTGCGTTCACACTTGAATTGATTTTTCAAGCAGGACTGAACGCAACGTTGTATGTTCAGTACCTCGCAAGTGTGAACGCGTCGTTGTATGTTCTAACCACGTCCTGCTTGAATCGCTGCGTTCACACTTGAGTTGGTTAATTACGGTACCGTCCCTAGTGTGAACGCAACGCTGTATGTTCAGTATCTCGTCCTGCTTGAATTTGCGTTCACACTTGAATTGGTTAATTACGGTACCCTCCCTAGTGTGAACGCAACGCTGTATGTTCAGTACCTCGTCCGACTTGAATCGCTGCGTTCACACTAGGGACGGTACCGTAATTAACCAATTCAAGTGTGAACGCAAACGCAACGCTGCATGTGAACATGCAGTGTTGCGTTCACACTAGGGACGGTACCATAATTAATTGATTCAAGTGTGAACGCAACGCTGTATGTTCAGTACCTCGTTCACACTAGGGACGGTACCGTAATTAACCAATTCAAGTGTGAACGCAACGCACGACTGTATGTTCAGTACAGTCGTGCGTTCACACTTGAATTGGTTAATTACGGTACCGTCCCTAGTGTGAACGCAACGCTACGAGGTACTGAACATACAGCGTTGCGTTCACACTTGAATTGGTTAATTACGGTACCGTCTCTAGTATTAAAGCAGGACGAGGTTAGAACATACAGCTTTGCGTTCACACTTGAATTGGTTAATTACGGTACCCTCCCTAGTGTGAACGCAACGCTGTATGTTCAGTACCTCGTCCGACTTGAATCGCTGCGTTCACACTAGGGACGGTACCGTAATTAACCAATTCAAGTGTGAACGCAAACGCAACGCTGCATGTGAACATGCAGTGTTGCGTTCACACTAGGGACGGTACCATAATTAATTGATTCAAGTGTGAACGCAACGCTACGAGGTACTGAACATACAGCGTTGCGTTCACACTTGAATTGGTTAATTACGGTACCGTCTCTAGTATTAAAGCAGGACGAGGTTAGAACATACAGCGTTGCGTTCACACTTGAATTGGTTAATTACCGTCCCTAGTGTGAACGCAACGCTCAAGCAGGACGAGGTACTGAACATACAGCGTTGCGTTCACACTTCAGTACTGAACATACAGTCGTGCGTTCACACTTGAATTGGTTAATTACGGTACCGTCCCTAGAGTGAACGCAACGCTACGAGGTACTGAACATACAGCGTTGCGTTCACACTTGAATTGGTTAATTACGTACCGTCTCTAGTATTAAAGCAGGACGAGGTTAGAACATACAGCGTTGCGTTCACACTTGAATTGGTTAATTACGATACCGTCCCTAGTGTGAACACAACGCTCAAGCAGGACGAGGTACTGAACATACAGCGTTGCGTTCACACTTCAATTGGTTAATTACGGTACCGTTGTGTTCACACTTGAATTGGTTAATTACGGTACCGTCCCTAGTGTGAACGCAACGTTGTATGTTCTAAACTCGTCCTGCTTGAATGTTAATGGTACTGAACGCAAAGTGAACGCAGCGCTGTATGTTCAGTACCTCGTCCTATTTGGGAGCACTTATGTGAAAGTCTATTTATTAAATGGATTTGTGCAAATGGATTTTTTTTGAAAGTTTCAATTAAGTCTGCAAACGAATCGATCAGCTAGCGAGCGCTTGAGTCAAAGCTTGGCTCGAGCTCGAGTTTGACCGAACTCGAGCTGAGCTCGAGTAGCTCAAGCATGTTATCGAATCGATCTCGAACATGGATTTTAGAAGGTCGAATCGCTCGCAAGATATGTAGTGAATTATTAAAATACCTCTTATATATAAATATTACAATATTTTATATATGTATTCCATGATAATTTTACTTGAAAATGAGTCGAACTCGAGCCGAGCTTGAGCAATCTTTCGAACATTTTTATTTCAATGTATCTCGAGGGATTGTCTTCTTTTGTTGAGTTGATCTCAAGTGTCATAAATCGAGCTCGACGAGCTCGAGCAAGTAAAAAAAAATCAATATTACTCGATAAGGCCAATGGTCTATGTTACTAATTAGACATGTCAAAACGGGCCGGCGGGGCGGGCCAGCCCGCAACCTGCCAAAACCCGCCTTTTGGCGGGTCCTGNGCTAGGTGGGCTGGCCCGCCAAAAAAAAAAAAATGTATAAACCAAATAATAAATATGTTCAATAGAACCTATCCAAATTCACAAAACAATCCAACTTCATTTTGCCCCAAATCTCTCAAATCAAATCAACGTGATTCTAAAACCGTTCGCGCAAATCGGGTAAGAAAAATATGCAAAATTCTCGGATCAATCGGCCGTCTCCCTTGTACCTACCCTGCGCAGGAAGCTATCGCCGGATGGAAGCCGCCTCGCCACCACTCCCGCTGCCGAGTCTCTAACTCTCTAGCTGACTCGCCGGTGACGAAACTCTCCCTCTGTAGCCACCTCGCCGCCGACGGATCTCTCTCTCTCTGTCGGCGTCTCGCGAGCCTCTCCTCTCTTAGTTTCTTGCCGACGCCCACCGGTTGGAAGCTGCAGCAGATCTCATCGTCGAGCTCGCCTATCCGGTTTGGAAATTCATTTTGTGTATAAGTCTGAACTGTGAGGATTCTTTTTTTTTTTTCTCTGTGATTGCAAAATCTAAAGTGAAATTGTGAATGAAAATCAGATTGTTACTAAGACCTAAAATCTAAGACCTAAAACAGTTATTTATTTATTTATTTTATGTAATGAATCACTAATGGGCTGGCTTTTAATTTTTCCGTCTCTTGGGCCCTTTGGGCTGACAACAAGCATATGAACTTATGTATAAAAGTCATAATTTCCTCTTTTTTTTAAAACAAAATAGGCGGGCTGGCCCGCGGCCCGCCTGGCCTGCCCCGCCAAAACCCGCGGCCCACACGGGCCAGCCCGTTTAGGCCCGCTCTTTGGCGGGCCTTGAAAATCACAGCCCAACCCGTCTATTAGGCGGGGCGGGACGGGCCGGCCCGCGAACACAGACCCGTTTTGATATCAATTCAAGTGTGAACGCAACACTGTATGATACAGCGTTGCTAACCTCGTCGTTGCGTTCACACTAGGGACGGTACCGTAATAAACCAATTCTAGTGTGAACGCAACGCTGTATGTTCTAACCTCGTCCTGCTTACACTAGTGACGGTACCGTCCCTAGTGTGAACGCAACGCTGGCACCTAAGCTGAGAGCTAACTTCAGTCCTGTAGTGCAGGCTTCATATTCCGCTACATTGTTGGTGCAAAGAAACAAATGGATCGAATTGCGTAGGGATTTGACCTTTTCGGGGGATGTAAGTACGATCCCAGCACCACATCCCCGCTCGAGGGAAATTCTTTTGATTGCGTTCCCGGCTCTCGGCTCTCTTTTTCCCTTTATCCCGTGCCTGGGTGAATATGAATTTCTCCCGGCTTACTACGATTTCCGGGTGGGAAGAAAGTCATTGCTAGCTCTTTGAACGAATACGCTCTTGGGCCGCAGGAAGATCATCTCTCTCTGTCTATTCAAAGATCCGAGACAGCTAGTTCAGTTGGTGACATTGGTTCCCCGTCCCTACTCTCCTATCTCTCTCACCCTGGTTGGGCTCTGGCTTAGTGTGATTAAACTGTGAATCGAGTCAGGAAGAAGAAGTCCAGCTCCAGGCTTTAAAGAAGAGAAGAAAGACCTGGCTTCAAGGGAAATGCTTTATTTTAGGAAATAAAGATCCCAAGCTTATGCTGAATCGAGAGTGGACTTTCCTTTCTCGTTCGTTCCTCTGTTTTGTCCTTCTTTTCCTCTATATGTGACTTTATGTGACTTTGAACTTAGTGAAATATACTGACTAATCAGAGTTCGAGCATATCGTCTTTCATATCCCTCAATTACATTGATCCTGATTCTTCGATTACATGTTGGGCTACTTCAAGAAGAAGAATAGGATTCTCGTCTCGCCTCTCGCCAGTTAACTTACTCGGGTGCTTAGTCGACTTTGGCTTGCTGTACCATCTAATGATGGACCACTATGATCATAGAAGGATAAAAGAAAGGAGTAGGGTCTTTCCTTACTTGGTGGGGGGGTCTTTGCTTTGACTTCACTTCGCTTCGTTTTTAGAGTCTCACTTCTTCTCCTCTCCTGGCTTCAAATGCAGAAGTGAGATAAGATCGAGTGGTCTCCTATTCCGACTTCCGGTAGCACAGCCGAGACAGCGCGCTCAGTCAGCTTCGTATCAGTCGCTTCGATCAGTCCAGAGCTTCGGTTCGGTCAGTTAGTTTCGTAACAGTAGCTTCGCCTCAGTAGCTTCGCTCGGGGTTCGGACTGGCGTTCCCACGCAGGCATCTTCGTATGGGCTCCTTTTCTAAGCCCTCTCCCAATTCACACCCAGAATAATGGTTAGCAGCCATTCGACGGAAGCGGACATCTGAAAATTGGTCTAATATATTATAATGAAGTGAAGCAAAGGAATAGTAATCTCTTTTTTGCACGTCCTGAACATACAGCGTTGCGTTCACACTAACATACAGCGTTGCGTTCACACTAGGGACGGTACCGTAATTAACCAACCTCGTCCTGCTTGAACATACAACTTTGCGTTCACACTAGGGACGGTACCGTAATTAACCAATTCAAGTGTGAACGCAACGCTGTATGTTCAGTACCTCGTCCTGCTTGAACTAACTATGTTCAGCGTTGCGTGTACCGTAATTAATCGATTCAAGTGTGAACGCAACGTAATTAGCCAATTCAAGTGTGAACGCAACGCTGTCCTGCTTGAACTAACTATGTTCAGTGTTGCGTTCACTCTTGAATTGGCTAATTACATTGCGTTCACACTTAAATTGGTTAATTACGGTACCGTCCCTTATAACATACAGCGTTGCGTTCACACTAGGGACGGTACCGTAATTAATTGAATTGTTTTAACCTCGTCCTGCCGGTCCCGTAATTAATTGAATTGTTTTAACCTCGTCCTGCTTCAATAGGTTGCGTTCACACTAGGGACGGTACCGTAATTAATCGATTCAAGTGTGAACGCAACGCTGTATGTTCAGTACCTCATCCTGCTTTAATTGGTTGTCCTGCTTGAATTCCTGAACATACAGCGTTGCGTTCACACTTGAAATCAATTAATTACGGTACCGTTCCTAGTGTGAACGCAGCGCTGTATGTTCAGTACCTCGTCCTGTTTGGGAGCACTTATGTGAAAGTCTATTTATTAAATGGATTTGTGCAAATGGATTTTTTTTGAAAGTTTCAATTAAGTCTGCAAACGAACCGATCAGCTAGCGAGCGCTTGAGTCAAAACTTGGCTCGAGCTCGAGTTTGACAGAACTCGAGCTGAGCTCGAGCAGCTCAAGCATGTTATCGAATCGATCTCGAACATGGATTTTGGAAGGTCGAGTCGCTCGCAAGATATGTAGTGAATTATTAAAATACCTCTTATATATAAATATTACAATATTTTATATATGTATTCAATGATAATTTTACTTGAAAATGAGTCGAACTCGAGCCGAGCTCGAGCAATCTTTCGAACATTTTTATTTCAATTAATCTCGAGGGATTGTCTTCTTTTGTTGAGTTGATCTCAAGTGTCATAAATCGAGCTCGACGAGCTCGAGCAAGTAAAAAAAAAATCAATATTGCTCGATAAGGCCAATGGTCGACTCGACTCGACTCGGTTAATTCGCAGCTCGTTCCAATCATTTACTTCTGGAGATATAACTTATCCATATGGTCATTATTAATTTACCACTAAACATAACTTATTTATCTACGTGGACTTTGCACTTAAAAGTTCATTTGACAAACGTTTTCAAACAAGATATAAAATTGATATGATTGAAAAATAATAATAATAAAATGAATATAAAATATTTTATTTAAAATTATGTGATTTGATGAATAGCAAATTTTTAATGTAAAAATATATTAATTATATATTTAAATTATTTAGTTATATTAATAAGGTATCTAGCAAGCCCAACTTTGTTGGATCCTTAGTTGGGCTTGATAAAGTTTTTGTGGTCAGATAATTATATCTCCAATCAGTTATTAGGTCTTTAATACTAACAAATATAGGGCCCAACTTCAATACAATTCAAAATCTGAACGCTGAGTCAAGCACAAACACCAAACAGTTTTATTATTAATTATTATTATTAAAATATATTATCACTTGAGATTTTTCTAATATAGGTTAGTTTTCCTTCAAATTTTCGAATATGAAAGATCTCTAATAGTTCTCTCTTCTCCAGACTTGGGGATTTCACATTCAGATGTAATGTAGAACCTATGTTGAATTCGAGAAGGCCTCAAAAGTTGCAAACCATCAAAGCCTAAAATCCCCTAATTTTAGGGAACATACTACAAGTGTTCAAGTGCCATGCTACCATTATATCTATACATTTTTTAACCTTATATGTTTAAGGTGGGCTATGTGCCTAAAAATTGTTAACAAATCTCATCTATATATTATAATTTTTTAATATTTTGTCTGCTATATCACTCTTGGGAATCCCAAATTAAATTAGGTAAAATTGATAAGTGACAAAAATAAAATAAAATTGATGTGACACCAACTTAATGATAAGCTTTAATTAACCCTCTCATTGCACAGTAAATGTCAAGAAATTCCGGAGTGGTGCTATCCACTATCTATCCATTTTATCTTGCAAACACATTTCAAATCACACTTATAGGAAAAAAAAAAATATATACAATAATATTTTTTGTGCACATAACTAATTTTTTGTTCTATTGTATTTTTCAGTACAAGATATGAAAGAAGTGAAAAAAAATATATTATATAAAATTCAGGAAATCTGTGGTGCATTGCGCGTTTTGTGGTTTAGTGTTTGATGTCTTTTTCATAACTTAATGGATCCTTAATTTCATCTTTGAGGTGTTATTCAAGTAGCTTATGTTATAGAATCATTTATATTCACTATATTATTTCTCCATAAAACAATCTTACATAATTTAGAGTTTGTAAAATCATCATCCATTGCTCCACTGGCTCGTTTACACCTCTATCTAATAACTTGTCCTTTTTTATTGCTTTTCATAAGTTTACTATTGGTAGCATCTTTACGTTATCATTAATTAATCAAATGATGCGTTTAGTTTGTTCGATTCTTAAAATTAAATAAATAATTAAATTATAAAAAATTATAGGTGACCTGCATTTACAAAATAATCATACATCGTAAAGCAAGAAACATAAAATTTCAGATAATTTTTACATACGTGGAGTTTTAAGGTTGGTCAGATCGTAACTAAAAACATTTCTCACCTATAAATGATTCCTTTAAGTTAATTACAAAAAAAACAAATATGGATTATGTAATTAATTTATTGATCCAAAATTAATCTTTTACTATATATCATTCTTTTACTTTCTTACCTCCTTTTTCTAGTTACTACTATATATTATTATTATTATTATTATTCTACATTAAAAAATATGTTAATTAGATCAAATTAATATAATTATCACGAACTTTAATTGTTTGTGCAGAAGGTATTATTGCCACACATGGAGTCAATTGCTCTAATGTGAAGAAAGACGACAACACTACAGAATATGGGAGAATAACACAGCCTATTTGTGCAGTATTAAAGTATTGCAATTTGTAATTTATATATATAAAAAAATGGATCTAATTTTTCATTCATAATAACATAATTAATAATTAATACCATGTCCATCCAATCAATCTTATACATTATGTCGTTTTTTAAGCTAATAATGAAGCTTTCCCCTGTTGTCCAAAAGTACAAGTATTTTTTTTTCTAATCATTTGATTAGCTAGCTATAGTGATTGAATATTCAACTAAATAATTAACTTATCATCTCATTTAATTGTCCATGTTGACGTGGAACATATACGTAACTTTTGTATTTGAGTTTGAAATCGCTGTTATAATATGCTCTCGGAAAAGAAA